GGCATCGCTACTAGGAGCAAAGGACGCTACTATGGGGGCTCCTGGCATCGCTACTAGGAGCAAAGGACGCTACTATGGGGGCTCCTGGCATCGCTACTAAGAGCAAAGGACGCTACTAGGGGCTCTTCTTGGGGCTCCTGGCATAGCAAGAAATCCTGGCATCGCTACTAGGAGCAAAGGACGCTACTAGGGGCTCCTGGCATCGCTACTAGGAGCAAAGGACGCTACTAGGGCCTCCTGGCGTCGCTACTAGGAGCAGAGGACGCTACTAGGGTCTCCTGGCATCGCGACTAGGAGCAAAGGACGCTATACTAGGGGCTCCTGGCATCGCTACTAGAAGCAAAGGACGCTACTATGGGGGCTCCTGGCATCGCTACTAGGAGCAAAGGACGCTACTATGGGGGCTCCTGGCATCGCTACTAGGAGCAAAGGACGCTACTATGGGGGCTCCTGGCATCGCTACTAGGAGCAAAGGACGTGGCATCGCTACTAGGAGCAAAGGACGCTACTATGGGGGCTCCTGGCAGATGGAAATGTTAGGCCAGAAATCTTCGCTCTCTGGCGGGGCATCGGAGGTAGAGTCAAGCGGCGAGGACGGACTGGTGGGTGAGCATGACAACTCATGAAATCAATTGTATGCGTTTTTTGCATGGAATGTATGTTCATGTTTCAATGTTCATGGGTATGTTGACATGCAAACATGACATGGCCACATGTACATGGTACATGAAAACATGTTACATGTTCAAATAATTTTGTTGAATGCACGTGCCTGAAGACAGCGGCACTACATGTATACATCGTCCATGCTTGCCAGATACAGGAGTGGTCTGACCGCCAGCCGGAGACTCCGACTCCAAGCCAAGCTGTGTTGGAGCTTCTCAGAGCGAATACTCTGGTCCTGCCTGGCTTTCAGCTTGCGGAAGCAGGAGCTGAGAAGGCTGAGAAGCCTGCTGAGCCCACTGCGGTGCAATCACAGGTGCCAGCTGCTTGCAAAAACCAGCTTTGCAGCAGCAGCCAGTCAGGATGGATGCGGCTGTTTACACGTCGAAAAACTACTCCAAGGAATGGAAATTCCTGAGCCTTGTTTTTCCTCGGGACCAAAGGCTCAAGAGTGCTCTCAAGAGTTCCCAGAACTTGCCAAGGCATTTAGCTCCGGCAACAAGCAGCAGCAGCGTGAAGTCCTGCAGAAGTATATCGAGAATGGCCATAGCCTGGAATCTGTGGAGGCTTCGTTTGTTGCCACACATGAATTGAGTGAAGTTGGACACAAGAAGCGAAAGCTTCTTATGGTGAAGCAGATGACAAACATGGGATGCAGCAAGATCCATGTCTTGGCTGATTTCTTTGTAATGTAATGACATGTGCTGACATGTCATTGTCCTTTGTTGTGGGTGAGCATGTCTTCTGTTTGGAGCCACTAGGGCGTCAAGCTGAGGCCGAAGATCATGGGATGTGTAGCTCGAGGGGGGGGGCCAAACGACGATGCACCACTTGACCCTGAGTCCATGAGATATTGGGCGACAGTTGATGTGGAGAAGGATGACTATGAATCGCAAACTCTCCGCTCTTCGGTTCAAGGTGCTGTCCGTCCAAAGGATGCAGTGCGAGCCCTTCAGCAAGGTGTGAATACTCCTACTGCAAGCCAACCTGTTCCAGACCCAGCGCAGTTGGTGAACCAACATGGCGAGCGCTATGAGCCTGCTTTCTGGTGCTGATCCTGCCCCTAGCAACATGCCTGTGCCAAAGCATGTCTTGGTGGCTGAATATGTGTGCATGCATGACAGTGTCGTGCGACCTATTCTTTTGCTGGGAGGCTCCCTTGATCAGGTGCTGCTGGCAAGGGCAAGGCAAAGGCTGCCCCCAAGAATGCAGCTGGACCGCTTTCTGCAGTGGCACTTGCGGGGAAAACGTTGGCTGAGAAGGGTGCCTTGGCCCGCTCCGCTCTTAGATAAATTGAGAACAAATTGGATTGAAAATGGCTTTGCAATTCCCAGGCAGTGAAGAAGAAACTGAATGCTCTCAGTTTCCTGGCGCTGGACCTGAGCACCCATGCTCGCTTTGAATCGAGGTGCAATGACTTGAACCGCTACCATGGTCAGCTGAAGGCTTTGTTTACGAGGCCATGTTTGAAAGATTGAATTGAAACATATCCTTCTGTTAGCAATGGCCAGGCTTGAGGTAGAGAAAAAGAATGAAGTCTCCTTCAATACGCTGAAGGATGAGAGTTTCCCATGTTACTTTGTTTTCCAAAGAGCCCTTAGGTTGCAGATGGTTGCAGATTGCCGTTTCAAACGCGCGGAGCTCTCGGCTGTTCTCTGGCAATTCTTCCAGTGAGACAAAACTATCTAGTAGTAGTCGATTTCTTGTTTTGCCAGGGGCTATGCTCGGCAGTGATTGGCTGATGAGACCGCTGAGATTCTGTTTGCGTCATGAGCATTGGAAGTGAACGCTATAGAGCATAGATAGATTGAGCGTTTGCACATGTCTAGACAGACGGTGCTGCTATTGGTGAATCTGAAGGGGATTCTGGTTGCGTCAGCTTACCAAAATTCTGGCCAACATGGTTGCAAAAATGTCTAGATTTGTAGCCATGCATGTCTTCTGGGGTTTGGGAGTGCTTCAGGCTTGTGTGTGTGAGAGGGCGTTTGACTTTGCAAATACCTTTTTCGGTGAGGTACTGCTGCCTCGGCGTCTGGAGCAGGATCGTTGAGAAGAACATGGATGAGAGGTCTGATGTTGATACAAGCAAGATACACTGTTAGACCTTTTGTGTTCACTGCTTGTGAGGATTGCAGGGGAAGTTGGACTAGGTCGTTGTACAATAGCTGCTGCAAATCGGATTGCTCAACTCTATCGGTCTGCATTATTTGGGCAACTTTGATGTAAATGGATTGCTGTGGGATTGTTTGATGTAAACCATCTGTCTTTTGTTCTAATATTGCCTGATTGGGGCTCCGAGCAAATGACAGGACTTAAAGACAGCTTTGCGAAGCAGGATGTCATCAACTACATCCAGCTACCGCTTCAGATGGAGGAATGCAATATCAGAGTGGGCCAGTGATACTACCACCCGCCTTTGAGTCTAATATAGTCTAATGCTCTCCTCATGGTGTTTGAAAACATCCATGACCTGCATGGGGCCCAGGCAGATGTGCTCCTAGCCATGCTTCTTGTTCCTAGTAGCGATGCCAGGAGCCCCTAGTAGCTTCTTGTTACTACTAGTAAGGCACCTGTTACTAGTAGCGTGGCACTTGTTCCTAGTAGCCTCTTGTTACTACTAGTAAGGCACTTGTTACTAGAAGCGATGCACTTGTTCCTACCAGCAATCCTGCAGCAATTACAACATGGTAATGAGAAGCCAAGACCATGTGGAGCCGATGCCATTGGTCTTGTACTTTATTGTGATGAGTGTCAAGTTTGGGAGGGAGTTCAACTCCTTTCTTTGTGCTGGATGTTGGAAGCCAGTCCCTATTTGACTGAGCCACACGCTTTCTGATAGCCTGCATACCGGCCACTGCTTGTGTCATTGATCATGACGGTTGCAATTTGACCTTGCAATCATTGCTGCAGTGCGTCGAGCAGTCTTTGAACCATTGGTTTGCATCAGGTGTTCGAGGTCTTTATGCTGCTACTGTTTTGTACAAAGGGAGATTGGAAGTATCTTATTATTCATATTAAAGAAGCCTTCAACTTGCGGAAGCATTATGGCTGCAAGGACAAGATCTGCGGTTTGTGTGAAGCTTCCAAGCAATTGGAAACGTCAATGACTGATGTGTCTGATGGTGCCCTGTGGCGATTCCAAGTTCCGAGCCCCCCGTAGTACAGGGAACCAGCCCTGTTAGAAAACATCAACGCGAAAGCCTTTTGAGCAAATCGAGGCGGCCCTTATTGAATGTGGATGTGGCAGAACATGCGGTGTTGCCCGGCGCTCCACCATAAGGGAAGCACGTGCCCTCCCGCCACATAGGGGCAGCTGCCCAGTTGACACCCGGGTCAAGAGTGCACGGCGAGCCCAAGCTTGTAGACACAGCCACCAAATCCTTGGGCTCGCTGTTCAGGACACGGAAACAAAGCAAAATGTTCCTAAGCAGAACGTTCACCCGCAGCGCAA